TTTTTTTTTTTTTTTTTTTTTTTTTTTTTTTTTTTTGGACGTATATGAGTTTTTCAGCTGTTCAGAGTTTGGTGATAAGACAGCAAAGTTTTTTTTAGGTTTCTTGTGACGGGTTCCTGACAGAGTGCACATGTTTTGGTGCCTTGTCCTTTTTTCTTAATGACAGCTTTGCTACTTCATAAATATATTGTAAGTTTTGTTTTATTTGATAAATATATTCATATTAAGGTGTTATATGCACATTTAAAGTAGTGCCGCGGGTCTAAGGGCATTACCGTTTGATTCGAAGCTTAGTTAGATAACCACTTATTTCCTGAGACAAATGTTCTATCCGCGAGTCATTTTGTCATGCCTTGCAAAAAATTTCCTCTTTAACGTTAATTAATTCCGTCGATGATGAAAGTTTCCAGTGAGTTTTATCTAAGGTTTTTGAAGAGCTAAAATTTCTTACGTTTTTTTCTTTAAGCTTTTATTTTGCTTCAGAACTTTTTTTTTTTTTTCAAAGGTATGACTTAATATGGATGAAGGTGACGATTATGTACCACAGATATCTCAGCTCGATTATTCACTTGTGGGTGATGCTTCAGCTGTTATCTCCAGCGACAGCTCTATTTATTCGGCACAGCCACAAGTGTGTTTGCATAGCTTAATTTTTTCCTTTTAAATGTGATTTGTAGAGAATTATTACTGGTATTTAAGAAAAACATATGCAGATACTTCTAAGCCTTTCTACCCTTTTTTATTGTACTTTTTTTGCTGTTTCATTATTGTCACTTCGTGGCTCAGCAGTTTTCTAGTCACTTTTTTCAAATTTATTGTTTTATCCCGAACACAAAGAAAGGAGAGTGAAGCACCATTTTTTGCAGATTTCTGTTGGTCAGAACCAGATGCATTACGGGAATTCCGCAAATATAATGCCGCAGAGACATGTTCAGTCTATGGAATCTATAGTTACATCTCAGCTTCAAATGATACCAAATATGGCTCAATTGCCCTCATCATTGCCTGCAACTAATCAAAAGCCTAAAACAACAAGGAGGCGGAAAAATGCGCAGCAGAATCATGGCAACGAGAACCAGCAGCAAATCAATTCTGTTGGAATGCAAGCAGGTGTCACATCAAATGGTTTTTTAGTACATTAATATTAGATAATCTTGAGTTACATATCTCACCAAAGTTAGGAGACACGTGATCTTAAAAGTTATATCTTTTTCCTTTTCGCTGAACTTGGCGCTGTTAGTGAACAGAGATTACATATTTTTTAGCGGTTGTTTCTTCGGAACAACAACAACAACAACAACAACAACAACAACAACAACAGCAACAGCAACAACAGCAGCAACAACAACAGCAGCAACAACAGCAGCAGCAACAACAACAGCATTATATGATGGGAAATGTAAGTTCGGTACCGAATGTTGGTGGGATTCCGCAGAAATCGTTGATGAACCAAATTCATTCGCCAGGACTACAACAGATGATGGGAAAATTAGGAAACGAATCACAGATGCGTCAGGTAGTAATAGCCCTGAAGCGTTATCTTACTTGATATGAATTCTGCATTAACTACCGGCAAAGTAATATATGTTTTTTTTTTTTAACTGTTTTAGTTACATGATCCTTATGGTCACCAACAACAGCAGCCGTGGTATCAAGACCATCACCAGCAGCAACCTCCTCAGCAGCCAATGTCGTATCGTCCCCCCAGTGATTTTTTGTCGTCAAATTCATATAACGGTCGTCCTCTGCCTCAGCAACCGTATTATTCCCAACAACAAGAAATGCGTTTTTCGCATCCGTATTACCAGCATGCTGGTTATCCTTCTTCGTCTCAAGTTGGAAATTATTCTATTTCAAGCATGCGTTCTTCTGTACCATCTGGACATATGTCCTCCCAGTATTATCCGGAACAAAATCAAGGCATGCACGAACTTGATCGTTAATTTTAAAAATTAGCAGACTTGAGTATGAATTGTCGTATTTCTGTTTTGATTGGTCAAAACGTTACAAAGAGTAGGTTTTGAATAAGTCTCTTGCTATGCAGTTAATTGTGAATTGGAAATAAGGTTCCATTTTTAAGGCTATTATGCAATGCATAATAACCACATGATGAGGCCAAATGAGGAGATGCAACCGATGCCTGCCATGCAGCAGCCCCGTCCCAATCACTCTGCATCGTCTTGGCAATGCCCGGGTATTCCAAACGTTCCAGGGTACGGCAAACCAAACTCTTCTTCTCATCAGTATTCTTTACAGATGGAAATGCGGCAGGTAATCTTTCTACGTCTTCTTTATTGGAAAGATTTCTGTTTTATCGCCAATTATTAGCATTTGCTCAGGTTGAACAGCAGTTACAAACTATGTATGACATTCCGAACAGAACGATACAAATGGCACATCAAATCGAGCAGCTGCAAATGAGGCTTCAGTATTTACAACAGTGCACGTCAATGGCTGATTGTCGTATCCCTTCACAACCTCAAGTTACAGAAAATGCACAGCAGCAGCAGACTCAGCAGCAGCCAGTTTCTGTTATGCAGCGAGGTTCTGAAGTTCAGGTAAACTTTAGAGTGGACTATAAATGCATTATTACAGGAGTAATCTTTAATTCTACTCAATAATATGTCTTCAAAATGACATTATTGTTATTTAGAGGCTTTTTCAGGTCAGTATCAAGCCAGATATGCCTGGGCATACTCTGATCAGTGTTTATCATCAGTATCCATCTAATGCGACCCCTACTTCCAATGCTTTCTCATCTGACAGTTCAAATTTAAAGGACTGTATTCCTCCTGAGCCGACTCCTTCAACCGTCAGGAATTCCGAAGGCAGTCGACCGAACATTCCTCCAGTTGAACAGCCTTTACCTATGACGAGCAGTATACACAGTTTACCTAACAGTACAATTGAAAGTAAGCAGAATATGAACTTAAATTCGAATAATCGACTTGTCGACGTGCCGGTGACTACTGCTTCAGTTGACGTGGTGAAGAATAATGCTGAGTGCGTGACGAAACCGAAGAGTGAATCTTTAGGGAGTCCGGCTTTAAACAGTTATAAAGCGGCTGAAGAAACTGTTTCAAACGAGCAAGAGGATGGGAATTTCCGTGCTGTAAATGTTGAGGATCAAAATGAACATCTTGAGAGTTCGAATGAGAAGCCGACAACACCATCAGCTCAAGTTGAAGAGAAAGAGGAGGAGGGTAAATGTGAAAGTAATTCTTCTGTGGATCGTAGCGTTTTAGAAATTGTGGAATCTGTTCATCATGCTGAAATGGAAGCGCGACAGATGTCTAAAAGTGAATCCGATGATACAGAAATTCTTCCAAAAGAGGCTTCGACAAGTGAAAAATCTGAGGAAGATGTCAAAGCTGAACCATCAAGTATACCATCTCCGAAAGCACAGTCGTGTCCTCCGGTTAGTTTTTCAGTTATTTCCAAGAAATGAGTAGAGGCCAGTTTCCAGATTGTTTGTGAAGTTCCTTATGAATGGGATTTCATGTCAAATTCGACTTCGTAGAGTTGCGTAGCGTAAGAGACCGTGTTTGAAATCGCTTGTGGTTTTGATACATTATATTATTTTCTTTCAGTCCCCAAAGGAGGAAGATTCGATGATCGAAGAGATCTTACCAGAGGAAGGTGATAACAGTGAAGGAAAGTGTGATCAGAAGTCGGTCTTGTCAGGAGACGATAATGTTTCATTAAAAGCTGAAGAATGTAAAGAAGAGGAAGAACCTGAGGATAAAAAAGATGCTAAAACAGAGGAAGTTCAGGATGAGGTTAAAAGTCAGTCCGAAGATGCAGCTGTTCCAGCGGTGGACAATTCGGATGTGAGTAGGGCAGAGTCAGTTGCTGAGGAGGAGCCTTGCTCTGTTTTAAAAGATGATGAAAAAGTATTTTTTTGATTTGTTCTTACTATTTGGAACAGCCTTCGGCGGTTTATTTTCCTATTTTGTTTTTCTGGTCCATTTCAGTCCCAAGAACCAGAGAATCAAAACTCAGAGCACGAGTTGGAAGAGGCTGCGCCAAATGTCTGTAACGATGAAGATACGGCTAAAGAAAGCGTGACTACAAAAGATGTTAATACATCTAGAGAAAGTACTGTAGTTGCACCGGAAGAGAAGATAGTGACTGAGAAACGGCATAATACGAAAAGAAAAGCCCGAGGAGGCAGAAGAGCAATTCCATTTAAGAAAAAAAAACGAGACGAGTATGCCTCGGACGGCGGTGAGGACGAAGACTTTGTCCCTGAACAGGCGAGAAGGTAAAGTAGTATCGTACTTGCTTCAATTGTAAAAATAAAATTGTTAATGAAAACTGGCGATTTTACCCTTGGTCGATTTTATTGACTAAAGTTTTTACGTTATTTTTTCAATAAGAAGTTCCCACAAAACTTTCTCTACCTTGTTGCTTTGCTAGGCTCTTTTGCATTTTAAGAGTACCATTATTGTACAGAGAAATTCGAGAACCATTTATTTTATTTCCAGGCATCTTTCTAGCTTTGCCATCAGGATTAATGTTGCCAATGACATACTGAATGCTAGGGAACTTTTTTTAAAAAATTGTTTGCATATTTAATTTGATAGTTACAGAATAAATTAGTTTGTATTGCATAGTGTGGGCCTGAGACAGGGGGCTAATGAAAATAATGTAATCTGTTGAAGTTGGGAATTTCTTTAAGGGTTTTTGTGGGAGGCAGTCTGAAGGGATGAAGTCGTTTGGGTAAGTCTTCTGAAAGTAACAGCGAAAGTTAAAACTTTATGTGGATGTATATCAATTCGAAGAACGAAGTCAAAGTGTTGTAAAATCTAGTTTTGCTGCTATTCTTGTGAGATAAGGCGTTATTTGGTTAGTGTATCTCTTTTATTAGAAGATGAATAATGTGGTGCTCCAACTAGAAGTCAGCGCTCACAGTTGTTTACATGCCGGTCTACGATTTTAAAACAGATTTCGTTCAGTGAAGTAGTTTCATTAATTAGGGTGTTTGGTAGAGTAAAAAGCAGAATGCCTGAATTTAATTTAAAACAAAGGAACTTTATTTTCATAGTTACTTTGAGAAAAGCAGAGGGGGGTTTTATCATGAAAACTTTATAGGATGCTGTTTTCAAATTGTTTCTTGCTTGATTTAATTAAAACAAGGGTTGCCAATTTGATCATTTTTAGCTTTATTCGTTGTATAAACTTGCATGATGATGAAGTTCCAAATTTCTGGGCAGTCAGTAAATTTTACTTTCGCTGGTTTATATTATTGTCTGATAGGAATTTTGTATGGAATCATTTGACATGATGTTTGTTATTGCTGAATAAGAGAAACCTGCAGTATTATTTTTATCAAAACGAAATTTATTTTAAATTGCACATAATAAATAAACTTGCATCCTGCATTGATGTTTGCCTTTCGTTGTTGTCAGTCTGGTTTTTCCACTTCCCTTTAAAATTTAGGTCTCGGAAAAAGGGCAGAGTTAGAAGAAGAGAAATCGAAATTGATCCATCAGAACTACCAGATGCCTGTGTTGAGGTATAGATAGACTGAATTGTTTTTCTTATTCGTAACTTGTTCAGTGAAGTTCGAGTTATAAAAAAAATTTAGAAGAGAAGATCAGGACGTATGCTTGGAGTCGAGAAAAAAAGCTATGATTTGCAAGCTAAATGGGATGAGATGGAAGAGGAGCTCGTGGATAACGATTCCAGTGCGAATACAAAGGAAGTCAAAAAAGTATGTTTCCTAGTATCGTCTTTGCTTTAAAGATTCTCGATTCACTCGCTGCTTTAAATTTCTTCCCTTACTGTCTTGCTCCTGAAACTAAAAGATTAGATTTCTTTCGAAG